AGAAATTTATAATATATCTTATGAAGACTGTATAAATGGTAAGAAAAATTGGCTTTCAAGTGTTAAAGATTTATTATCGTCGTATGGTTTTATGTATGTATGGCATAATCAAGGGGTTTTATGTAGTAAATTGTTTTTATTAGAATTCAAGCAGCGTTTAATTGATTCCTTTGTACAAAGCTGGCATGCTGATATTGTAAATAGTCCTGTTTTATTGTTATACAAGGATATAAAAAATGTGTTCCAGTATGAAAAATATCTGGATTTATTACCTAGTAGCCTTAGGCATTATATTAGTAGAATAAGATTATCAGCACATCCGTTACTTATACAGTCTGGTCGTTATGGTTCAAATAGGATACCAAGAAATGAACGTTTTTGTATATACTGTAGCTTACATGATATTGAAGATGAGTACCACTTTGTTTTGGTTTGCACTTGTTACAATGACCTTAGAAAGAAATATATTAAGAAATTTTACTACGTTAGACCTAGTATGTATAAATTCTTAGAATTATTAAATAGTGATAATAAGATTATTTTACGTAACCTTGCTTGTTATATACGAGAAGCATTGGCTATGAGAATATCAGTTACACATCGTCGAATTCACGGTTAATCCTCTGTGTAACATAGCGTAGATAAATAAGTATTGATTGCATAATGTCTAACTTAAAATATAGATTACATTTTGCTTTGATAATATTTTGATATGTTTTGTATTAACGGAATTATAAATTAAGCAATAAAAACATATGCTTTGCTAACATTTGACTATGATAGTATTATGTAATGTGACTTATACTTAAATATATTTAATTGTTTGTATTGTGTAGACGATGTATTTTGTACAAGTCTGAAAATAAAGTTTCTGTTCTGTTCTGTTCTTTAATTTTGGAATAGTCCATTAGTAGAGTAAGGGATTTCAGTATGGAAAATAATAAAATTGAGCAGTAAGGGTATGATGCTTTATCATTGATTAATTTATTGCAGGGGATTGGTCAGATTTCAGAGATAAATTAAAAGTTAACCCACTTCATTTTATTTACAATACTGATAGGTGTATTAATCTTCCTTAATACATTACATTACATAACTAAATTGCAATTTTCTCATATATAATATTGTTCTATTATTTCTCGTAGCCCTTCCCTTAGTTATATAATGTCAAATTAAGTCATGGACATGTTATTTATTAAGCACTTCTATAGAAATATAAACGTTGTATAAATAATGCATGAAGTCAAACGTATCCAAGATTTAGAGAGAATCTGAACATATCGAGTATGCCCACCTAAATTGCCAGGAAGTAGGCATATAACAAGTGAAAACCTTTTTTTTAATATACGAGATTGAAATGCGATATTCTAGTGGAATTTATTCAGTGGTAAAAAAATTGTCCTTTAAAGAAAAGTGCTTGCAACGATGCATGAAATGTCAATTCTTTTTCACCGACATACCTAAATTTTAATAATGGCATTGTCCTGATTTCATTTTGGAATAGTCCATTGTTGATTTTGGGGGAATTTGATACGGGCGTCTTGCAGTGCTATGCACCTTCGGCATATGAAAATCAGTATTATTGTCGTTTACAAACAAAAAATTTATGAAACAGAAACGCACTTGTCTCCAAATGCAAGAATAATAAATTAAAGTATGAAAGAATAATATACAGAGAGCATTTTGTGTGTGCACTCTACCAGAGATTTATAGTAACTCAATGATTTATATGGTTTGGGTTTCAATAGCTTCTTAAAATTAACTGTTAATTTCAATTTGGATATAAAGTTCATATTATATTTAATGTTTTGAATTTCTACAAGAAAATATATGTACTGTACCATTAAATATTTTTTGACAGCTTACATGGAAGTTACCTTTCTTCTCACACAAAGTCATGTCCAGTGCCTTTATATTGACCTCTGCTTAAAATGTTTTGTACTCTAGATCTATGGCCCTTTTTTTTTACTTAATTCAAAGAATACATTACATTTATTCCGAAGTCAATCGACTGTTTCCTTAAAGTTAAAAAATATAATACAGTGTCGTCTGCTCCATCGAGCTTGTTTCCTGTCGTCGGAAAACATTTTCACTTGATTAAATACACTGAAGCAAAAAAGACACTAAAATAATTTTGCAATTAACATCAACAGGAAAATGCGTTAATTTTATTCTGAACTGATCATATGATGTATTATTCATATTGTGAGGATTTTAGTTCCAATACTGTCCACCCACCGTCACAAGTATATACATGTCAAAAATTGGAATCATTTCTATTTAATATGTCTGTGTTTTCTTTAAATATATATAAAAAACAATACTTTATAAATTATTTTAACGTCACAAAACCTTTCGTATGATTAAAGGTGAACATAATGGCCATTCTGTTGTCCTTTAACATTCATCGCGCAATATAATGTCTGCTTTCATTTTCCATGTATAATAATGCTATTTTAACATCACAATGATTATCATAAAATCTAATATCATATACATAGCAATAAATATAAAAGCAATGTTTTTTTGCGGAGCTTTCCCTTTGCCGTCTTTGCAGTATTATTTGCACTTGTTGTATCAATATTTTATGTTTAAAAATGAACATACTAATAAGATGTATGAGGTTACGGGAAATCCGTGATGAGGTCAACTTCGTGAATTTTAAATAATGATACTTCTAAAATGTAAAATAATTTATTATCATACATGTAGTTATAAGCATAAGGTATCCACCTGGGTCAGGTCATTTCTTCGCCACCGTAGCCAAAGGGTTGCAGTGGAAGGTCAAATCTCCGACCAGCTACCAGTGTTATCCGGTGTCCCTCAGGGCTCAGTCCTAGGACCCTGTCTGTTCCTGGCATATATCAATGATTTGCCAGAAACTGTCAAAAGTAAAACCAGGTTATTTGCGGATGACACTATAGTCTACTTGACAATTAAAGACCAGACTGACGCTGACAGACTACAGGACGACCTATATAAACTTGAAGTTTGGGAACGGGACTGGGCTATGGAGTTCAACCCAGACAAGTGTGAGGTGCTGAGGATCACCCGTAAAAAGAACCCCACCATCTTTCCATACACCCTTCATAATAAAACTCTTAAATCAGCAGAATCTGCAAAATACCTTGGAGTAACTATATCTAAAGATCTAAACTGGACACAGCACATAAATAACATCACCTCCAAGGCCAAAAATTCTCTAAGATTCATCCAGAGAAACGTTAAAACCCAAAACAGGCAACTCAAAACATCAGCCTATGTTACTTATGTCCGACCACAACTATAATATTGTTCCACCATATGGCACCCCTGGCAGAAACATCTAAGTCATAAGATTGAAAGTGTCCAACGAGCTGCGGCCAGATATGTCTGTAATAATTATAATTTCGAAAGTAGTTCAACCCAAATGCTAAATGAACTTGGGTGGCCTTCCCTAGAAAGCCGCAGACTCCAGTCCTCTCTAGTAGTGTTCTATAAAATCCAATACAAACTTGTATATGTTGAACATAACCATCTGACCCCAACTAGAAATCTGAACTTCCTGATCCCCCAGTCCCGTACCCAATATCATCTAAATTCCTACTTCCCTAGAACTCTCAGGTATTGGAATAGCCTTCCATATCAGGTCAAATCCAGTCCCAGCCTAGATACCTTCAAGGATAGGCTGGTGACAGTCACCTAGTCCCCTCCACAGTAATGAGTATGTTTTTAATCTTGCACTACTAGTATTCATGTTTTAGTATGCACTAATTCTTTTAACACAGTTTTCCTGACAAGCGCCTCCCAGTCATAGTCAGAATTGATTGTTCGGGAGTAACATGTAGATGTAGATATTATTACTGCAATTTAAGGTTATAAAGCAATATGGCGCGTTGTCGTGAATTGTTTATTACGTTTTAATATAAGTAAATAAAGCAGATTCTACATCTCCCGAAAAAAAATATAGTAGAAAATGCTTAAATAATTTTTGCCACAATTTCCTTCTTATTTTATATGGTCATCAAATTCAACGTCGTGCGAGAAACTGCTGACCAGTTAAACATACAAGTAAAATGGTTTCCTGCGGGGAATATTTTTGATGATATAAAGATATTTCATTTAACTATCTTTAACATTGTTTGGGTGGGTGGATAAATAAACGTTTGTATCTGGAATATAGTTGACAATACTCGATCAATATAGAAGAAGGTCTTTGGAAACTGGTGACCGTTAATGACCGGAGAAGGTCGAACATAAAACAATTATTTCTTTTAAAGAAAATAGGCCTACCATTTTATGAATAATTCCGAGCAAAAAAAAAAGCAAACACACAAGTTTTCGCAGAAAACATCTCTATTTATTATGGCAGATGCCACTACGAATATTTTAATTTTGTAGATTTTCAGTATAAACAATTTATTGTTTGTAACATTTTGAGATACATATTAAAGAAACATTGATAATTTTCAAACACATCATTCAAGTTTTTCCACCTTAAACGGTATTATAATTATAGAAAATTAAAAATATCACGTAATAGTTTTTTGTTCTTAATTAGGTGTAATTCTGACTTATTCCCTAGAGGATTATCCGTAACGTACCGGCAAACGGTATTTAGCCAGGTTTTCGAAAAGGTCAATTAACCAATCATGTACGGTTTACAGATCACATGCTCCTCCATGTACCGAAAACAGGTCACGTGCTCCTCCATGCCTCAAAAGTTAAACGCGTACCAATACCCTGCGGTCTCCAGACCGCAGGGAATAATAAAAACTACTGCCCAGTTAAACATATGGTAGAATCTGCTGACCAATTAAACTTATTATAAAAAGTGCTAACCAGTTAGATGCATAAAATATATTATATTTTTCCGCAGGTTCCATTTAACTGGCCAGCAGTTTCCTATTTACTCTCTATCGTCAGCGGTTTAGTTTACAGCGGTATTTCCTCAAGTGTTGAGATTTTATCACGCGTATGTTTACCTCAACTGTTAGATTATAGTCAGCCAGACAAAAACGAAAGTAGTTTAAATCATCTTGAGGTTCAAACAAGGAAACTGTAAATATTGCGAGAGTTTATATAGATACATGTATACATACTAGTTGATTTATAAATTAGATTAGTAACTATGTCTACACCAGGTACCCAAAGGTACAGTAGACTTATGCTTACATTAATAAAAGGTGGAACAAAATTAACAAGAAGATTTGTTGAGAAAAGAGTTAAGGATCTTAGCGAGAATGGTGAAGAAGATACTATCGATGATTTTTTGTTAAAGAATAAATATGTTATATTACAACAGAAATTGGGAAAGAACAAGGAAAATGTATTTTTTCCACGTTCCGGTCACACAAATCTAGATAACTGGGACCTTTGCATGTTCTGTTTCATTCTAGAAGAAATTTGTGATCCGTCACAAACAACAAAGATGCGTATCAAGAAGCTTTTAAAGATCCGGAATAAACTTTGTCATTTACATGACCCAACGTTAGAAACAGAAAAATTCGACGAGTATTTTGATGATTTGAAAGTCAGCTTTGAATGGTTTTTAAAAGAGATCAATGATGAAATGTTTACAGAGGAAATGAATGAACTTGTTCAGTCATTAGCCACTGATCCTTTGTCAATGGATGAAACGCTTAAAGCTATTCATAATATGTACCGCTCAGAATGGACACAAAGAGAAGTCTTGGAAAAAATTGGGAGTGGTAAGTGTATCTTCTCAACATTTTTCAAGTAATATGGAAATGCTAATTGTATGTAAGGAAGCTCTAAATTAAACTTGAAATTAATTATTACGTAATATCCGTCTTTTTACTTATACATAGGCCAAGACTTGACAAATGGAAAGCTTGACACACTTATTGAAACGGTTGGAGTACTTGTTTCTCGTTTGCCATCTGGAGCTTCTGTAACCATTCCGGGTAATTAGATTATTTTCATATGAAAAACATAATAGATATTTATAGGTAAAAATCAGTGACGAAAAAAATGTTTATTGTGATAAAGTGCATAATTTCAGTCCATGTACTTGTTTGGATATGGTTGATATTGCTATGACTCTGAAAGATATAAATATTTTTTAAGTAAATGATCCAACACCACACTCCCCACTTAACCCCACAGTTCATCGTATTAAAACATAGAGAAATCCCCCCTTCAAAAGAAACAAATTTACCGTCCCATTCCCCTTATGAACATTCATGTTTAAAAAGTACATAAAATTACATTTTGAAAAGATTTAACAATCAACTACGCGAGTATAATTATATGATAATTGTATGAATAGAAAATGGATTTGTTTAAAGTTTGCCTATATTTAGGCCATGTACGTTATACATTAAAGCGCCTATGCGTTTATATACCTTTTTGATTTATATACCTCATTCAAATGTTTAAATTTAAAACATCGATACTGGTATAATAATAGAATATTATATTTTGGAACAAATTAAAAATAACTAAGTTTAAATAAGACCATTTTGATCAATATAAAAAAGATCTATTTTTATAGCAGACGGAATCTTGCAAGAGGCTGGCTTTTAATCACTTTTAAATCAAATGCCGAAATGATTACGGAAGACAGAAATATACTTAAATAAAAGGAACATATTTAAAAGTAAAACCCGTATTAACTACAGAGCATAAATCAATTGAAAATAAGTATACAACTGTTATCTTAATAACATTTTGGTTAAAAGTCCTATTTATTGTATACATTTGAAGTATGATTCATCATTATTTTTCATTAACAAATAGATTACGTTTTATGCAGGAATTGGACTGGTGATAGAGGTTGAAAATTGTAGTGCAGAAGAGGAGAAAGAAATTTTAGATAATTTAGAGAAATTCTTTAACGAGGCTATCGAACAGAAAATATCAGGTGCTGAGGAAGATCTAACGAATGGTGCTCTGCATACAGTAAGGGAATCTGTTAAAGAAGTGTTTCGAAACTTTTTCATGAGGGGAAGACACATTATAATTGTGAAGCAAAGGTGTCTGTTGCTTACAATAAAATGTACATCAGTAAAAAGCTTTCTCGAAATGATCCGCGATTACAGAACTGGAGATCTCTCAATACAACTCTCAGGCATTGAAACAGCTATAAAGAATTGGCAAGGTTGTGGTAATATCCAACTTGTCAATCTCATCTTCAAAGAGGAATTCATGGAAGTCATGGATGACATTGGTACACCAATATTTAAGTTTCCATATACTTAATTCATAATTATGCCCCCACAAAGTGGGAGCATATAGCGTTGCACTTGTCCGTCCGTCCGTCCGTACGTCCCAAAATCTTGTGAACGGAACTCCTCTTAAACCGGATGGCAGATTTTGCTTAAACTTACAGGGATGATCAACCTTAATGTGTAGATGGTAGTAAAGGAAGTAATTTTTGCTGCGACCAAATTTAACAGAATTATGGCCCTTTGTTGATTTTTTTCACCATATACCATATTGAAATTTTGTGAACGCAACTCCTCTTAAACCGGATGGCAGATTTTGCTTAAACTTCTAGGGATGATCAACCTTAATGTGTACATGGGAGTAAAGGAACGAAATTTTGCTGCAACCAAATTTAACAGAATTATGGCCCTTTGTTGATTTTTTCACTATATACCACATAGAAATTTTGTGAACGCAACTCCTCTTAAACCGGATGGCAGATTTTGCTTAAACTTTCAGGGATGATCAACCTTAATGTGCAGATGGTAGTAAAGGAAGGAATTTTTGCTGCGTCCAAATTTAACAGAATTATGGCCCTTTGTTGATTTTTTCACTATATACCATATAGTAATTTTGTGAACGCAACTCCTCTTAAACTGGATGGCAGATTTTGCTTAAACTTCCAGGGATGAACAACCTTAATGTGTAGATGGTAGTAAAGGAAGGAATTTTTGCTGCGACCAAATTTAACAGAATTATGGCCCTTTGTTGATTTTTTCACTATATACCATATATAAGTTGTCAGTGGGGGCATCCGTGTCCTTTGGACACAGTTCTAGTTATATCTGTCTTTATCCTTTTAAATGTTATGCTGATATAATATTGAAAAGCAATTTAGAATGTTCACACTAATGTTTACACTTTAACAATTTAAGATATTTTTATTTATTGAATACTATTAGATATAGTACCAATTATGTTTCATATAAATTTCAGTTTCCAAGTTATGTAAACAAGTTAAACAAACCGAGGACACTGTCGTACAAACAGGTTCCAATGCAGAGAATTCCATTCGTGTAACACTTAAATTTCCTACAGTTTCTGAAAGGGAAACAGTACAAAACCGTTTTGAAACTGAAATGTTTGTGGACAAAATGAATCGCATTCAATCAGAACTATGCGGAATGCTGAACGTAGAAAGAATGTCGTTAACAGACAAACTTGTCGTTATAGAAGATGCAGTATCGAATTTTGGTGAGTCATGTTGTTTTATAATACATGTTTACAATGAATCATATTTTTTTGTCTGAAAAACATATAACTTTTTTCAAATACATGAAATTGGCGCGGAACTTGTTTTTGTTTGAAATTTGTTACTAGATCTACTTCATGTGAAAGATAAAGCTTTTTTGAGCAACATATTCAATGAATATATTTTTACTTACAAAGAGCATGTGAATGTAGAGAACAGTATAAACAAGCAACTATCCTAGTATTGCCAGCAATCCATAAGTCCCCTACCGGTTAGAACCCCAGCAACATTCTGAAGAGCCATTGCTCATTGAATTATGCCATTGAATGAATAAATGGCATGAATGAGCTTAAATCTTTTGAGCTCTTGAACACTTGAGGGTCATTATACAAATATCTTGTGTAGACATTAAAATCCCAACACTTCAGAGACATAATACATATATCTTGTGTATGTGTTGACATAACAGAATCATAGTTAACATCATATTTTGTCTTTATGGTTGAAATCCCACACTTGAGAGACAAAATGCATATATCTTGTCTATATCGTTGAAAAATCCAACACTTGAGGTCATAATACAAAGATCTTATCCAGACGTTAAAATCCCAAACACTTGAGAGACATAAACATATATATCTTGTCTATGTGTTGAAATAACAAACATTTGAGAACATAGTACATATAGTTTGTCTTTCATGTTGAAATCAAACACTGAGAGACAAATATACATATATATTGTCTAGACATTAAAATCCAAACAGTTGAGAGATATTATACATTATTTCTTGTCTTTTAAATGAAATCCCAACACTTGAAGGTCATCAATACAAATATCTTGTTTAGACGTTAAATCCCCACTTAAGAGACATAATACATATAAGTCTTGACTAAAGTTAAAATCCCACACTATGGGAGACATTTCAAATACATCTGTCCAGACCTTAAAATCCCAACACTTTGAGACATATATACAGGATATCTTGTCAAAGACCTAAAATCCCCAACACTTGAGAACATAGATACATATATTTCTATCTATTATGTTTGAAATTCCAACATTTTAAGAGACATAATATTTATATCTTTTATATGTTGAAAACCCAACACTTGAGGGTCATTATGCAAAATATTGTTTAGACGTTGAAATCCCAACACTTGAGAGACATAATACATATATCTCATCTAGACATTGAAATCCAACACACTTGAGAGTCATTATCAAATATCTTGTCTAGATGTTAAAATCTCAACATTTGAGAGACATAATAGACATATCTTGTCTATATGTTGAAATCCCAAAACTTGAGGGTCATAATACAAATATCTTGTCTAGACGTTAAAATCTCCACACTTGAGAGACATAATACATATATATCTGTCTATATTGTGGATTCCAACACTTGAGAGACAAAAACATATATCTTGGTCTATATGTTGAAATCCCAACACTTGAGGGTCAATATAAAAATATCTTGTGTAGACGTTTAAAATCCAACATTTAAGAGACATAATACATATTTATATATATCATCTAGACATTGAAATCCAACGAATTGAGAAAACATTATAACATATACTATTCTTGTCTATATTCTGAAATGCCAATACTTGAGATCATTATACAAATATATTGTCTAGACGTTAAAATCCCAACACTTGAGAGTCATAATACATATATCTTGTCTATATGTTAAAATCCAAACACTTGGGAGACATTTTAAATATATCAGTTTAGACATTAAAATCTCAACACTTGAGAGACATAATACATATATTCTGTATATTTTGTTGGGATTTCAACAAATAGACAAGATGAATGTATAATGTCTCTCAAGTGTTGGGATTTCAACATATAGACAATATATATGTATTATGTCTCTCAAGTGTTGGGATTTTAACGTCTAGAAAAGATATTTCTAATAATGAAACCTCAAGTGTTTGATTTCCAACATGTAGACAAGATATATTATAAGTAGTTTCTCAAATGTGGGGATTTCCAAAATATCAGACATGATATTATTTATTTACTTCTCTCTAATGTGTTGGGATTCAATACATTATAATGTAAATTATAATATGTATTTATATTCTCTCAATGTATTGGGAGTTTTACATTCTAGCAGTTATTCTATAATGTCTCCTCATGTGTTGGATTTAACAATATAATTCAATATAGTATGTATGAAGTCTCTCAGAGTGTGATTTAGTGTATATAAGATATTATCTATCTGCATATTGTGGAATATCCCATCACGTGGAGAGACATAAATACATATATGCCTTTGTTTATGTTGGAGAATACCTGCAACTCTTGAGGGTCTATTATTACAAGATATTCTTATATTATGACGTTAAAATCCCAATGCTTGAAGAGACATAATATCATTATATCCAATGTCCTATATCGTTGAAATCCCAACACTTGAGAGTTTCAGTAATTACGAGTATATTCTGTCGATATTGGCGAAAGTGCCTAACACTGTGTAGAGTTAGATAAAAATATCTACTTTGTTTTTTATGTTGTGATATATAAAAAATTGAGAGTCATAAATACATGTACTGGGAGCTAGAAATGATCACAGGTTTCAGAAACTGATCACTATTAAAGGGGAATTGGTGTGATAAGTCGGCCGGATTAGCTCAATCGTAAGAGCGCGATACGGTATGTCCGGAGGTTAATCGGGTCGTGTCCCGGCCAGACTGCAACAAATTTTCTCGCCTTGTGACATTTGGGCCAAACAGGGATACCGTGAAGGTATAGAAGCTCCGAGTTTAAGTTCACATTGTTTGTCTGTACCCATTTTAATATAGCGGAGGAGTATAGAAAATGTGCATGGCTGATCGGGAGTCGAATCCGGGAACCCCGATCGGAATACCGTACCGCGGCTGGTAACCGATTGAGCTATCCATCCACTTACCCAATATCTTCCCTAAGATAAGTGAAGCAAGTTTTGAACGTATCTACAATATATACATGTCAAAAATTGGAATCATTTCTATTTAATATGTCTGTGTTTTCTTTAAAATATATATAAAAAACAATACTTTAAAATTATTTTAACGTCACAAAACCTTTTTCGTATGATTAAAAGGTGAACATAATGGCCAAATTCTGTTTGTCCTTTAACATTCATCGCGCAATATAATGTCTGCTTTTCATTTTCCATGTATAATAATGCTATTTTAAAAAATCACAATGATTATCATAAAATCTAATATCATATACATAGCAATAAATATAAAAGCAAATGTTTTTTTGCGGAGCTTTCCCTTTGCTGTCTTTGCAGTATTATTTGCACTTGTTGTATCAATATTTTATGTTTAAAAATGAACATACTAATAAGATGTATGAGGTTACGGGAAATCCGTGATGAGGTCAACTTCGTGAATTTTAAATAATGATACTTCTAAAATGTAAAATAATTTATTATCATACATGTAGTTATAAGCATATTATTACTGCAATTTAAGGTTATAAAGCAATATGGCGCGTTGTCTTGAATTGTTTATTATGTTGTAATATAAGTAAATAAAGCAGATTCTACATCTCCCGAAAAAAAAATATAGTAGAAAATGCTTAAATGATTTTTGCCACAATTTCCTTCTTATTTTATATGGTCATCAAATTCAACGTGCGATAAACTGCTGACCAGTTAAACATATAATAAAAACTACTGCCCAGTTAAACATATGGTAGAATCTGCTGACCAACAAGTACAAATGTTGCTGCAATGCAGCAATTGAGAAGCTCCGCGCAAAAAAATGCGCTTATTACAGATACCTTACCAAATTATTCCTACGCACAGGTCATGTTATATTCAGAAAAAGTACTATTGTAGATTTTTTCCGAATGTTTTGTAAACGATATTTTGCGTAATTATAATTATCTTATGCACTGTCCATAATTATAAAGAGGGGAAAGATATTTAATATAAAAAAAATGCTTTCACTGATGCCTACCTGGTAAGGAAAGTAATTCCATTGAATACAAACAAGACTTACAAGACTTGTAAATGTTATGTGACATGACTGTACTATGTTCTGTTTGTGTCACTACTGTAGTCAGTAACATAAGATGATAAAAATATCAAAGTCTGATTTTTTTTTATTATTATAATTGTAACAAATATACAAATAGTAACAAAAGGGACTAATATTATAATATACTAATATTACATGCATTTTTTCATGTCCAACATTAAAAAAACAGTTTTTTTTTCAATACTGAAAGTAGAACACACTCTGGAATGAAAAATAATGGGATGAATTTCAAAAAAGACCAAATTCAGAAATTTTTTGTTTGTTTATACACGCGTTACATGGTGATACAGTATTTATTAAAGGGACTCCATCTGAGGTTTTTGACATGATTGGGACAAACATTTTTTTTCAGATTAAAATGTACCATTTGATGTAGGTTTAAGAACCACTAATCTTTGTGCAAAATTTTAGATCATTCTCGCACTTCGTTTTTTCAGAATGATTATTCAAATTGTAAAAAAATGACCAAAATTGAAAAGCGTATAAACGCTTTTCACTCAAATCGGGCTAAGAAAAGCATAAAAATACGATTTTTCAATTTATTTCAAAGTATATTTCTTAACATCTTTGCATATATTTCTGTTTAAGTTGTCCCCAGGCTTACTTATGTAAGATATTCAAATGTTATGTATGGTTTATGTATTGTTATGACTTTTTAAACCTCCGTGGAGTCCCTTTAATATAATAGGAAAGACTGTCACCTGAATTTTAGGCAGGTATGAGGAAATTCACTAACATCATGTTCCGCGCGAGTCAAAGATATAGAAGCTATTTGACATGGGTGATATATAATAAAAAAAATCTTTTGTTAATTGATTTATTTGGGAGATCAATATACTTTTTTGTTGAATTGCTTTAAAAACCATTCATAAAAAAACACATTACACTTTCATGTTCAAAATGCAGATCAAATCAATGATGCTATCTATCTATAGCCTATGCTTAATGAGGGTCCATCCGCTGGTAAGGCCACAAATATAGGTTTCGCTGTCGAGTACGGACCCCGGACATGTGACCAGTCATACCCTTCGCAGGAAGAGCTATTTTTTACGGACGCGGACAGTCACGGACAGGTCGCGTCAAGACAAAATGCCTCGAACGAAATTAAATACTTCATCGATTTCGAAAAAAGAAAATACTAAAAAGCTCACCAAAATAGTGTTGGAGAACCCATAAGTTTATGATGCACCAATGACAGATTAAATCAACAACATCTGGTCTTCGGTGGCATTCAAAAACCTAACTGGTATTCAATGTTTTTCCTCTTTCTTTTTACCTAATTCTTTGATGTTACAACTGGTTTTGGTATTCTGAATGAAATCTACATCTACATCATAATTATACTGCTTAACAATCAATTCTGATTATGACTAGCAGGCGAAATTATATCATATTCTACAAATAATTATCCGATAAGATCAATTGTTGACTATGGATCTTCTGTTTATTAACCATCTACAAAGAAAAACATTCAATTGATTGAAAATATGCAAAGAAGGGCAACTAGAATTATTCCATCATTGAAAGGTTTATCCTATGAACAAAGACTTGTAAGGCTTAATTTGCCAACACTTTTATATCGTAGACAACGATTTGACCTCATTCAAATTTATAAAATAATTAATGGGTTTGATAATGTTGACCCGGATAATTTTTTTGTGTTCAATGATAAATGTACACGTGGACATATATTCCAGCTATTTAAACCAAGTGTGACTGTGAATAAAACACTAAGGAAAAATTCATTTCCTATTAGATTTTATGCATTGACCAGTGGAATAACCTAGATGAAAACATTGTTCTCAGTGAAAGTGTTTGACATTTAAAAATTTACTCGACCGGAGCTGGCAAAGTCAAAGATTTAATACAAGTGACACTTACTGAAGTTAACTTGATAATAGGGAGGAGCTTACAAGCCATCTTGGCTTAAATGCTCAGAAGAAGGAGAAGGTAAAGGTAAAGGTATGAATGTGATTTTGTTAACAGTTTCTCTTTCAAAATTTAGAATTTCCCCCACTATAACATGGAAAAACCAGACCGAGTATCAGAATATTAAAGTAGTGTCACAGTTCAGAACTGTTCACTTTTACAGGGAGAAAAATGTGTAAGTGGCCAGATGGCTCAGTCAGTAGAGCTGTGGCCAATGTTAGCTTCCTTCAGGGAAGTATTCTTCTCAAATGATGTTTTACGCACTAGCTCACGTTGTCTAGCTGTTATAGTGAAAAGTAACTATTATAGGGCGAGGTTCCCGGGACGCGTTTCGACGAAAAGGGCGGTATGCATTATCGATAAAGAGGTCCTCCGTGATTTCCAGATGTTTATGGATAATGTCTTGAATGATCTTTTGGCAGTCTTCCGGTCTATCGGCCGGCACTTCCGGTATACCATAGAACACAAGGTTGTCCTTCATTGATTTCATTTCAAGATCAAGTAACTTTTTCTCAGTGTTTGCTTTGTTGTCGGTCATTGTTTTGAGTTTTTCTTCAAAGGATGAACAAGACTGTTTAAGTGTTTTAATCTGCTTTTTTGCTTCTATCAAAGCATTATTATTTTCTTCGAACTTATCCCTGATATACGAGGTTGCATTTTCTGTCACGCGCTTGTCAATATCTTTCACTTTGATTTCAAGGTCGGAAAGTTTTAGACTAATTGAATTAACAGTTTTTTCTATTTTGTCTATTTTCTCCAAGGGTTTGATTTTCGATTTGATGTCTCTTAGGTCTTCCATAATTTCTATCCACGGCGGCTGTTGAAGTCCAACACCGAATGGAGAATTCGGAGGCTGGCTGTGCCGTAACATGGGTCGGGTATCCCATATGGCCCCTGTGAAAAAGCCATTCCATATAAACCAAAATAATGAGATGTGTTGATAGCTTTTGTTTTTTTTGACAATTGTTCACTATCTAAATATTGACCACTCGTAACGGGTGAGTAACTCAAACACAGTGTATTGTCCGCTTTGCCTATCTTCTCATGTACAATGTCCGATATTGGTGAGATTATCTTGCGTTTTTCTTTACGTGATTTAACCACTTTTTCATTAGAATTTCCGAAATTTATTCCGTTTGACATTAATAAAACTACATATGTATCCTTTAGTCCATAAAAAATCCAATTTATATTTGGTAAAATAACTTTAAATCCAAATAAACAAGTGTCCACGTTACACGTGTCCTATCCATTAAACTGATCACGTAATACCTGATATAAAACAGAACTTAGCAAACATATATACATACATAATTGAAAAATAAATATGATATTGACATCAATCAAGGCACACTTCATGCCTCATTTAATGATTTATTCCACGGGCACACGCTGATTAAATTAAACGGACACACGCTGATTAAATTATCACATTTATACGGGTGTTAATATATTTACACAATAGCTGGATGTATTTAACTGATTGAGATATTATTTATGATATTGAGATGTCATTTAAACATAAAATTTAATAATATTCTACAAACAGTGATGTGTTCAAAACAAAATGAACAAATAACTATCTCTATATTATATACATATAAAACTACAATATATATACATAGGCAGACCCCTAGAATTTTTTTTATTTAATATCAATATCAATGCATATTATATTATGGTAAATCCATTTCAGTTCGAGTATGGGCTAGACTATAGCCTGATCAGTATAAATGACATCTTAAGAAACACTCGAACCTACTATTGCGGTCGTGATATAAATTTTATATAATATACATTGATATTGATACTTATTTGTAATATTTATGTTCAATATATTTTTTTCATCATAAATTTTCAGGCACTGTGAAGAAGAAAAAATGTTTGCAACGTACGTATGAAAAATTTGCAATTCCAGACAACAAAAACTTTGTAGCAACTTTAAAAATCGCGTAATGAAACATAAAATATTTATAAAAACGTCATGATATACAGATCTTCAACTACTAAATAGATTGAAAACACTTTCAAACCAATAAAATAAAGTTTTCATGTGTTACTTGGATAAACAATATTGCTATTTGGTAATGTACATGTATCTTAGCAGGACCGGAAAGCACTCGATATATCTATTTTCTTAAATACTCGTAATAACTATCAATATATATTTATAAAGACATGTTGTCTGAAAGATTTTGATCTAATAAATCGATTGGTAACACTTTCAAACCAATAAAATAAAGTTTTCATGTATTACTTTGATAAACTATATTGCTATTCGGTAAAGTACATGTACCTTAGCAGGACCGGAAAGCACTCGATATATCTTATTTTCCTAAATAATCGTAATAATAATCATATTATAATTATAAAAATGTGTTGTCTGAAAAATTTTGATATAATAAATCGATTGGTAACATTTTCAAACCAATAAAATAAAGTTTTCACGTATAACTTTGATAAACAAAATTGCTATTCGGTAATGTACATGTATCTTAACAGGACCGGAAAGCACTCGATATATCTATTTTCCTAAATACTCGTAATAATTATCAATATATATTCATAAAATTGACTTGTCTGATAGATTTTGATCTAATAAATCGATTGGTAACACTTTCAAACCGATAAAATAAAGTTTTCATGTTTTTTTGAGAAATTTGAGTGCTTTCCGGTTTTTCGATGCTATCTGGTGCTTTCCGGTTTTTCTATGCACCAAAAAGTAAAGGCTATTCTTTGCATAAGTGATGTAATCAAAGGAAGTAATTTACACCTGGGACATAAGATAACTATGTTCCAGTTTACACATTGCAGTTGAAATCCACATAAATAACTACAAAAGTCAAAATATGTGAAAAATAGCCTTTACTTCATTAGTCACGCATTAGAAATATGGTGATAAATACTGCAGTCAGTCATTAATCGCACACATGTAAATTATTACTTGAATCTTTTTACTTTTCTTTTTACTTTTCTAAACGTCTTATAACTTACTAATGTACAATTTAAGTACATATTGTTATTCATGTTTTATGACCTGAATTTCTCTTTGGTTTTAATTCCTTAACAAAGCCCATAACATTACGTTTCTGTCAGTTATGATACATTTAAACATTAAAAATGTGTAGAGCATATATACAATTGCCAAACTGTCAAAACCCCTTTTAGGGGACCTAGATATGAGCTGAGCTTTATGTCTTACTCTTTTTATGTAACATAAAAGAAAGAAAGCGTAACTACCAGAGCAACAGATAAGCTTTAAAAGTGAATTGGGTATTACTCCATCATTTCCTTTGGAATTGGGTATTGGCTCCATTTAATTGGGTATTCCAAAACTCGATACCCTATGATTTCAAGATCAATTGGGTATTCAATTATGAAAATATGAATTTTATGGTTTCAATATCAATAAAATTTAAATTTTTGATTTTTGATTATTTACGATTGTTTTGTTTCAAATCATTTTCCCTTTTGTACGACGCCATATTGCTTTCAAAGCGTCTATTGATACAGGTGGGACCTACTTATTGACGGTCTCCGCAAATTCAACAGTCTCTGCCGATCTGTAAAGACCGTCGACCTGAGTAGACAAATCGACGGTGTCACGCTTTATTGATATGACCTCGAAGACCGTCGAAGACCGGAGACTGTTGATTAGTTAGCATTGATTCAGGAATATTCGGATAGCATGCATATCGAAATAATTTGTCCAAAACTACGAGCGTACGACAGATTAATTTTGCGGTGATGAAAATGACAATACGCACGGGTTTTTCAGACAGTTGCATATTTTATTTTTATGCCCCCACTTTGAAGAAGAGGGGGTATATTGCTTTGCACTTGTCGGTCCGTCGGTCCGTAGACCAAATGGTTTCCGAGTGATAACTAAAGAACCCTTAGGCCTAGGAACTTCAAACTTGGTATGGTGATTGGTCATGACCAGTAGATGACCCCTAATGATTTTGGGGTCAAGGGGTCAAAGGTCAAGGTCACATTGACCTCTTAGGTAAAAACGGTTTCCCATCAATAACTAAAGAACCCTTAGACCTAGGAACTTCAAACTTGGTATGGTGATTGGTCATGACCAGCAGATGACCCCTATTGATTTTGGGGGTAAGGGGTCAAAGGTCAAGGTCACATTGACCTTTTAGATAAAAAACGGTTTCCGATCAATTACTTAAGAACCCTTAGGCCTAGTGACTTCAAACTTGGTATGGTGATTGGTCATGACCAGCAGATGACCTGTATTTATTTTGGGGTCAAGGGGTCAACGGTCAAGGTCACATTGACCTTGTAGGTAAAAACGGTTTCCCATCAATTAACTAAAGACCGCTTAAGCCCAGGAACATCAAACTTTGTATGATGGTTGGTCGTGACCAGCAGATGACTCCTATTGAATTTTGGGGTCGAGGGGTCAAAGGTCAAGGTCACATTGACCTTGTAAGTAAAAACGGTTTCTGATCAATAACTAAAGAACGCTTAGACCTAGCAACTTCAAACTTGGTATGGTGATTGGTCATGACCAGCAGATGACCCCAATTGATTTTGGGTCAAGGGGTCAAAGGTCAAGGTCACATTGACCTTGTTGGTAAAAACGGTTTCCAATCAATAACTAAAGAACGCTTAGGCCTAGAAACTTCAAACTTGGTACGATGATTGGTCATGGCCAGCAGATGACCCCTATTGATTTTGGGTCAAGGGGTCAAAGGTCAAGGTCACATTGACCTTGTAGGTAAAAACGGTTTCCGATCAATAACTAAAGAACTCTTGGGCCTAGGAACTTCAAACTTGGTATGATGATTGGTCATGACCAGTAGATGACCCCTATTGATTTTTGGGTCAAGGGGTCAATGTCATATTGACCCTGTACTTAATGATGGTTTCTGACCAATAACTCAACAACTCAAGTTGCCTTGGTTTATATTTTTATATTGAACTAAAAATGCTTTTGGTATACACATTTGCAGGTCTTATGCAATATAACAACTTGGCTGTCATTAATGAGGCCTACATGATTCATAAAATTTATGCATATATTATTTGGTAAGATTTGTAATAACTTAAATTGCTGCACACAACCTATGGGGTCACAATAATTATTACCTTGATCACATGACTAATTGGCTGCAGATAGGGGGCATACATGTTTTACAAACATATCTTGTTTTTAATGGGGTTTGATACGCATTCTTAAAAAATCAATTGCGTATTTTATAAAATTAATTGCGTACATACACAAATACGCACCTTATCTGTTGCTCTGACTGCAATTTACAAACAGTACAAAGATTTATTATTTGTAAATACTGACCTTTTCATATCCTTTTTTAACTTTAATATTTTTGAAAGTTGGTTTTTAGCTCGACTTTTTTTTTTTTGAAAAAAAAAGTAGAGGTATTGTTATAGTCGGGTCGGCGTTGCCGTTGCCGTTCCCGTCCGCAAACTTGTACCTGGATCATAACTTTTTTATTTCTGGGTGTATTGTCTTCATACTTGGCCACAACAACCCTTGGGACAAGACCTTTCAGTAGACCACACTAACCTTGACCTTCATCCATAAATGACCTTGACCTTCAAGGTTAAAAGTACAATTTTTGCTTGTTCATGCTGTTATTGGCTGTAACTTTGTTATTTTTGAATGGATTGTCTTCAAACTTGAACATAATAATCTTCAAGGATATCCCTTAAAAATAACCTGCCAGACCTTGACCTTCACTCATAAATGACCTTTACTTTGAAGGTCAAATTATTGAAATTTTCATTTTTTTGGCTATTATTGGCTGTAACTTTGTTATTTTTGAATGGATTGTCTTCAAACTTGAACATAATTAACTTCAGGGATATCCCTTAAAAATAACTGGACAGACCTTGACCTTCACTCATAAATGACCTTGACTTTGAAGGTCAAATTATTGAAATTTTCATTTTTTTGGCTATTATTGGCTGTAACTTTGTTATTTTTGAATGGATTGTCTTGAAACTTGAACATAATAATCTTCAAAGATAACTGTTAAAAATATACCGAAAGACCTTTACCTTCACTCATTAATGACATGGTCTTTGAAGGTCAAATTATTGAAATTTTCATTGTTTTGGCGGTAACTGACTGTAACTTTGCTATTATTGAAGGGATCAACTTCATATTATAACAGAACATTCTTAAGGACCAGACCTTGTTGTTTATCAAACCCAAATTTGCTTGGGCTCTTTAATGACCTTGACCTTGAAGGTTAAATTACTGAATTTTCTCAGATTTGTGCATTAAATGACCATAATTATTTCACGGCGTCTCAACGCCATGATATTGTGATGGGTAGTTTTCGGTAGCATGGGCAAAAGTCACGTGACAAAATGCCTTTCGATTTCTACAGCCGACATTTTATTGTTTTTACGTAATCATTGTACAGCCCATTTCCGTGAAAAGTTACATAGAAACAGTTTTTTTTTCAAAACCATATAGAATCTAAACAGTATTTTTATCAACACACGAAATATCAGCGTTTTATATTAACACATTTCCGGACATCCTTTCGACATGCTTGAGAAATTCGCCTTGAATAGATTATGTATGGTGGCTGATTAACGCCATCCAAAATATTTTCGCGTCTTCGCCTCAAAATGCGAAAATGTGAAAACACGAAGGGACGACATATTTTGACTAATGTGTTCTCATGTAGGATCTATGTTCTCTCGGAGTGAATCTTTTCACGTGTAAAATGTCTTTGAACATTACATTCCTAATTTCTATATTTGCAATTAAGAACTTAAAATTGTCTTCTTTTTTTTAGCTCACCAGAGCCGAAGGCTCAGGGTGAGCTATTAGTATCAAAGGGGGGATACTCCGGTGTCCGTCGTCATGCGTCAACAATCATCTTCTTCTCTGAAACTGCT